ATAATATGGCTCTACAAACTGCTCCCAAGGCATCCTTATCTTCATGAAAACATCACTTTATCCCTTGGAGAGAGCTGTACAAATGCCTTGATATCCTCGAGCAATTTTCAGAATGACAATTAGATTCATGAGGGAAGCAAATTATCACTGTTTACTCATGGGGTTTGGTGCATGTCAAATCCCCACGGGATTCTGGTCAGCAGCTCCTCTAGATGTAAAATTTCTCATAAAGCAGTGGAGGTAGCAGATATTGGTACAGTCTGCAGGAAGCAATGAGACTGTGCATAGGAAGAGCTTAAACCCTTTGGTGTTAGGATTCTCTACTTGGATGAGTCAGAAAGAATGTGTCACAGATGTATGCACTAGAATATTAATGACATCATTATTCCTATGTAGTCAAAAATACTGAAATCCCCTTAATATCCAACAGTATGGTAAATGCAATGGGTACATTATTATGCAGACATTAAAAATCATGATATGGAAATGTTCAGGATATTTTGTAAAGTTAAAAATTAATAAGATACAATACCAAATTTTATTCATAAAGCATATTAATATACGCTTATATATGTGACCAAAATATCTTACAGTAGTAAAATTATAGGCAATTTTTATTTACTTTAATTTTTTCTGTAAACAGCATATTTTTCACAGAATAATCATATATATATATATATATATATATATATATATATATATATATATATATATATTAGAGGCCCGGTACACAAAAATTTGTGCACTGGCGGTGGGGGGGCGGTGTCCCTCAGCCCCACTTGTGCCCTCTCACAGTCTGGGACCCCTCGGGAGATAACGACCTGCTGGCTTAGGCCCGCTCCCGGGTGGCAGAGGGCAGGCCCAGTCCCTAGGTGCAGCCCCTGGTCGGGGTCAGAGCAGGGCCGATTGGGGAGTTGGGGCGCTGCCCCCTGTCATGCACAGAGCAGGGCGGATCAGGGAGTTGGGGAGCTCCCCCCTGTCACCCACAGAGTAGGGCCAATTGGGGAGTTGGGGCACCGCCCCCTGTCACACACAGAGCAGAACAGATCAGGGGGTTGGGGAGCTCCCCCCTATCAGGCACAGAGCAGGGCCAATCAGGGGGTTGGGGCACCTTCCCCAGCTCAAGGGCAATCAGGGGGTTTGGGCGCTGCCCCCTGTCACGCTGCTCCAGGGGCCAGGAGGCCTCGCGGCTCCACTGATCCCAGTGCTGGGAGGCCTTGCTGCTCTGCTGATCCCTGTGCTGGGAGGCATATTATCCTTTTACTATATAGGATAGAGGCCTGGTGCACAGGTGGTGGCCAGCTGGTTTGCCCTGAAAGGTGTCCTGGATCAGTGTGGGGGTCCTGCTTGGGTGTCTGGCCAGCCTGGATGAGGGGATAATGGCTGTTTGCAGCTGGTCACACCCACTTCAGGGTGGGGGTCCCCACTGGGGTGCCTGGCCAGTCTGGGTGAGGGGCTGAGGGCCGTTTTCAGGCTGGAGGGTGACTGAAGCTCCCAACCTCTCCTTTTTTTCTTTTTTTTTTTTATTCTGGGATTTATTTACCTTCTATGGCTATCACTGGAGCTGAGAGCCAGCTTTAGCTCTGAGGCTCAGCTCTAGCTCTGAGACCTCGGCTGCTGAAAGCAGGTATCTGGTTTGTTTGACTTCTATAATTGAAACACTGTTGCAACTCCAGCTTGGCTGGCTGGCTGAAAGCATGGGGTTTGTTTAGCTTCTATAATTGCAACATTGTTTCTTAGAGTGCAAGCTCAGAGCCCAGCAGCGGCAGGCGGGGAACCTTGGCTTCCTCCATCACTGGAGCAAGCAAGCCTCCTGTTTGCTTCAGCTGCCTGGCTGTCGGCCGCCATATTGGTTGGCAGTTAATTTGCATATCGTCCTGATTAGCCAATGGGAAGCATGTCAGAGGTATGGTTAATTACCATGTTTGTCTACTATTAGATAGGATGCCTCATATGCTAATTGTCCCTCTGACTGACTATTCAACCAGTTGCTATGATGTGCACTGACCACCAGGGGGCAGATGCTCTGACCGGTAAGTTAGCTTATGCTGGAGTCCGGCTGATCAGGACTGGATGAGATGGGCCGGGCATGTCCTGGAGCCCTCCCGCAGTCTCTCCTCAGCCCTGATCATGCACCAGTGGGGTCCCTCGGCCTGTCCTATGCCCTCTTGCAATCGAGGACCCGTCAGGGGATGTTGAAGAGCTGGTTTTGGCCCGATCCCCACAGACTGGGCCAAGGGACCCCACCAGTGCACAAATCTATGCACCAGGCATCTAGTTTGTTAATAATCAGACAAAATGTGATTAGAACATACAAGATACAAATCATGGGGGCTTATAGAAAGTGACAGTATCTTCTCAAAGTATAGATGAGTGAGGATTTCTCACTTTCCCGAAATTTAGCAGCTCTGCTTCTTCTTGGGTCCTTCCTGTGAGAGTGAAGAAGTCCTGATGAAAAAATATATCCTGAGATGTTGAAGCCTTATTGGACATGTTAGCTTAAAAATGTCATAATTGTAACATGACACCAGGGGAGAAGACTTCATACTGCTAAATGATTTCATGATGGTGATACTGAAGCATCAGTGGGAGATCTATTTCAGAACATAGACATTTGAAGTATATTTCAGATAAGCCTCTAAGACAGTGGTTCTCAACCTTCCTAATGCCACAACCCTTTAATACAGTTCCTCATGTTGTGGTGACCCCAATTTCATTGTTACAAATTGAACATAATTAAAGCATAGTGATTGATCACAAAAAAAATATATAATTATATATGTGTTTTCTGATGGTCTTAGGCGACCCCTGTGAAAGGGTCATTCGACCCCCAACGGGGTCACGACCCACAGGTTGAGAACCGCTGCTCTAAGACATTGCGAAAAGTATACCAAGTCTGTGTTCTATCTTTGTCTTGGACGCATGAGACTTCTTTTGTTGTCTGGGGTGGACATATTCAATGATTTCTAACATAAAATGGGAGTAGAAATGATGTGTGCCACTTCAAGACCTGGCCCATAAACACCTTCCGTGCACACTTCTCAAGGTCTTCTTCTCTTTCTGGATAAGACAATCATAGAGACTTTAGAAGGCATGTGTTGAACATAGCCAAGCTTTCATTAGCCTCTCTTGCTTAATGACTCTCAGAAGAACCATCAGTTAATCTGTACACCCACCCAACTCTGTTAGATGAGCAAGAAATAGACTACATTCTGTTTAATTTGTTACATATTGAAGGGTCTATTTGTTACAGCAGCAAGAGATAACATACCTAATACAGTCACATGGTCTATCATGTACACTTAGCTGTATACATGGCCTGGCCAAATTCATTCTTGATGAAGAGGTGTAGATACCACTTTTGTGGATGAACCACTCCATGATAAAATGTAGAGAATAGTCCATTTGTACCATTTCTAAGTTGGCACATAAAATTAATCTTCACAATTTGCTTGCTTGCTTTTCTGCTCATTTTTTAATTAAATAATTTGTTTATTTTTGGTCCTTGGGAGTCATTATTTCCACAGGGTTCATCTAATCCAAAACTTGTGGTGACCTGTAATGTCCCAAACTCATACACCAGCTCTCCCAGGGGCTAGCTAATAATGGTGCTTTACTACAAAGCCTCCAGTTCTGCCTGTGTGACTGGAGATACCCAAGTCATAGGTTTATTATAAAAATTAATTGGGAGCCCTAGCCGGCTTGGCTCAGTGGATAGAGCCTCAGCCTGTGGACTAAAGGGTCCCGGGTTCAATTTCGGCCAAGGGCACATGCCTGGGTTGCAGCTCGATTCCCAGTGGTGGGTGTTGCAGGAGGCAGCCGATCAATGATTCTCTCTCATGATTGATGTTTCTGTCTCTCTCTCCTTCTCTCTTCCTCTCTGAAATCAATAAAGAAATATATATTTTTTTTTAAATTAACTGGGAGAAAAATACACTGACAAGCTCTCTAAACACAAGTTTATATTGAAATTATTTAAAATTCTGTTTATGTATCAGAGTTCCAACCTTTCAAACAAATGAATGAGAAAATAGAACATTCCTCATGTGAAGCATACTAGTGATAAGTAACTGGCTAATTTGAATAAAGGAAGGTCAAATTAATAAATGAACTTTATAGTGAGTGGACAGTGATTTTTAAGATAAAGAGAAGCTTTGAAAACCACCGCAGATGATTATTGAAGAGCCCAGGAACAGTGTCAAAGTTAAAGTACACAGAATATTCAACCCTAAATTCAAGGACATTAACACACCCCTGATTTTTCTCCAGTGAATCCTGGGGGAATGCCATGTAGTTTGGGGGTCCTGTGACAACTGACCCAAGGGAGCCCAGGTTCCCACCAGGCAACAGTCTAACATCACTGGAGTTCCCAAGATCAATATCCATGAGTCTTAAATAATTCTACCCATGGGACAAAGGTGGAAATTTATTAACTTCAGGCCTGTTTCTTTTCAGACCCTCCCCTCCAGAAATTGAAAAAAATTCTGCAGTCCTGCTTCATTCAAAGTCAAACTGTTACAAACTGTTAACAGAAATTAGTAATGACACCTGGTAGAAACTTCTTAGGCCAGGCCACCTTTGACCCAAATGGAGCACCCATTTTTTCATTGAACTAAAAGATTTTCTCGGTCAGCAAATCTCCAGAGATCACAGCACCAAGATCTAGCAAAGCCCATATCATAGGCACCTTGCAGTATGCTTGATTTATGAAAAACAATGTCATTTCCTCTTGCTTCTTTGATAATAAACATATGTGTTCTTATAAGCAGCAGCGTAGTTTTATGTGCAAAGACTTTTACATCTGCAGTTCTTTTTGTCTTCCTGTGAGAACTGGGACAAGAAAACTTTATAGCATGCTTTTATTCTCTTTGTAATAAAGGCTGGATGGTTAGCTTTCTTGGTGCAGCTTTCCATGGTAGACAGCTCTGTTTTTTAAAAATGCGCAAGAAATTAATTTTATGAACACTTTGTTCATATTGCTTCTCTACCACTTTTTCCAGGAATGCCCCAGCGGTGTTGTTAACGAAGACACCTTCAAAGAGATTTACTCACAGTTCTTTCCACAGGGAGGTGAGTACGAATGAGGACTTGTTAACATACTCTCGGTTAGAATTATGCTTTGCAATCTCTTTTTCTTTTTCGTTTTCCACTTGGTGCTGCTTTGGCCTTGGGGAGGGGCAATGTGGTAATCATGCAGCTGTCTCTCTTACCCTTCATATACACTCTTTCTTGGTCTGTGTGGGGCAGGCTGAGCTTCAGCCTCAACCCCATGTTCTAGAACTTTCTCTGTGGTGTTTGCTCATGAGTAATTGTTCATTGTTCTTCCTGTGAGGGGGAGTGAAGCAGGCATTGACCTACATGGCCATTGGGTGAGGTCACTTCTCTTTGGGTGTTGATCTTGTATCCTAATCCCTTGCTGACTACTTATGCTTGCATACTTTGGTTTGGTTCATCCTTCAGGGTATAACTACATTTTTAATTATGATGTAGAAGAATTAATATACAGCATGCAGGGGTACATGAGTTTCACTATATCCTAAAAGTAAACTACTTACAAATTAGCAACTATCCATGAGCTTGGTCTTTAGTTTAGCACGAGTGGTATCATTGGTGCCTAGTACTGTGGCTCTCAAATGCACAGTACTTTTGTTGTTGTTATTTTTTAAATTTATCTTTATTGTTGAAATTATTATAGATATCCCCTTTTTCTCCCCCATGGGCCCCTTTGCACAGCACTTTCTGACTATGACAGCCTGGTCCCATGCCTCCAAGCTCTCCCATGCATTTTCGGTGTCATTTGATTCTCCCAACTCTCAAAATTAGGACAAATGTAATTATCCTCAATTTACAGATGTGAAATCTGGGGCTTAGAGAAATTAAATGGCTTGCTGGGGGCCACACATCCATTAAGTGGCAAATCTGGGTTAGAAACTAGATTTCTTTGGAGCCTCGCCTAGGGTCCTTTCTGCAGTTTTTCTATTTTTAGGTAACTCTACTATGACCACCACCTCCCATCTGAGAAAAATGAATACCACGCTAGATATTATTTTAATTGGAAAGAAAACAGGAGTGCAAAATATAATGCATATGTGTTAGAGATGAATGAAGGCCACTAGACATTTCTGTTCGTCCTTCAATCGCCCATCAGGATGCCCAGCTCATGTGTTAGGTGCTGGTAATGTAAGAGTAATGAATGGGATGGGGTACCTGCCCCCAAAGAATGTTCTAGTCTACTGTAGTAGGTGGGACATGTCAAAATTAAGTGTGTGAGGATAGAGAGCTAAAAAATACTATTGTGGGAGCACAAGGTAGGACAATTCGAGCAGCTGAAGGAAAGGGGGGATATGAAAATGAGGCCATCCAGACAAATTGAATCTGGGCTGATATAAGCACCATTTATCAGGCATCTGGCATGTGTCGGACCCTGTCATGCATTACCCTTCACCTTCCAACAACCCTAGAAATGATTCTCCCTTTTTAATAAAGGCAGAAACTAAGGTACAGAGGGGTTCATCCGTTTCCTCTTCAATAACTTTTTTTTACTGCTGTCCACTGAAAAGAATCCCCTATCATCTCATGCCAAAATAACTCAATAGTCTCTAAAATCATCTCCCTGATTCTGACTGTCCTCCCTGCTTACCTATCATGGTCAATTCTCAACACAAACTGAGTGATCCTGCCAGATCATGTCACCACTCTGCTCTATCTTTGTCCCATCAGAGCAGAGGCCACAACCGACATAGGACCTACAGGTTGAGCTTACTAGTCTCCTGCTCCCTCTCTGACTCATCCTTCACCATTCTCCCTGTGGACTCACTAAGTTTCAGTTACACTGGCCTCCTTACCCTTCGTTCCCCCAATGTGGCCATCATATTGCTGCTCCTGGGGCCTTTGAACTTACTGTTCCTTCTGCCTGGAACTCTCTTCTCTCAAATATCCATTCAATGCCTCACCACCTTTGTTTTTATTGAAATGCCACCCTCCCTTAAACTGCAACCCCTTAAACATTCCCCTTCCCCATTCCCTGCTTTAAGCACTCAAGAGCACCTAATGGTATATACTATTTAACCTCTTTTTATTATGGTTTATTGTCTCTTTCCTCACTGGAATGTCACCTCCAGGGGAGCGGAGGGTTTTGTCTGTTTTGTTCACTGCTGTACCCCCAGGTTGTGGAACAGTGGCTGACAGGTAGCAGAACTGCATAAACCCTCCCCGCCTACATGAGTGAATGGGTGAATGACTGAGCGACATCACCTCGCCTGGTGGCTATAGCAATACAATGGAGTCATTGCTATAATAGGCATTTTGAAAGTTTACAGCACCTAAGTATTAGTTATTTCCTACAAAAATTAGATTCTCTTTTGGATTTCAATACAGTTGGTGTTAGCAATTTCAGTGGGTTGAAAGTGATTTCGTACATGGATTGTCAAAATAGAAATTTTCATTTAAGATGGCCTTTTAAGAGAAGTTAGAATTCAATTCTAAGAAAACACGGTGTGGCCTATTATTATAGGATTTAGACATGCTGTGTGAGACAACTCCACTCCCCATCTCATTACTAAGGGGCCCACAGACAGGTACTGACTGGTTATGGAGACCACTGCCAGATTGTAATGGGTCCAGTGTCAGCATTAATAAAGAATTTGGAATATTATTTGATTAACTCTTGTATTTCTAGATTATTAAAAGCCATGGAATTTTTAAAGAAAATCATACTTACTATATATTTAAGTGTCTGCCAACATATTGATAGACAATAATATCAAAGCACCTAGCACAAATGGAAATCTTTACTTTTTATTATCTCCAATGAAAGTTGTTACATGATACAAATTAGATACAGTTCCACATTAAAAATTAATCTTCACTTGAAAAATAACATTTTGGCATTAAAGAACATTCACTTAAGCACAGTTCTTTGCAAAGGATTCTTGTTACAAAATCCAAAGGGATTTGGAGAAAAATTACTTTTGTACTCTTATAGATTCTTTGATTATTCATGCTAATTGAATGCATAAATCTAAAAGTACCAGGCATAAATAAAGGAAATGAAATATTTTCAAGAATAATGACTTGCCATTTAAAAAATTACTATCATGCATGCAAATGGGATCTTGCAGCACTCCTACAAAAGGGAAAAAGTCCTAAGAACGGCATCGCCAATGGCAGGAAAATTCATACTATGGCCATCTTCACTCTCCTGTGAATCCATTTACTTAAGTTGCTGATCTGAAAGCAACAGGTGTATCTCATTATGAGCAGTAACAATGATGGCCCCATCAATCACAATGTCTCACCATTTCCGCCAGGAAGATGCCTGGTCTCATCTACAGCACCTCCTGCAATTTGTATTGTGTCAGGCTCTTCGTTGTCACTGTTGCTTAGCGAGGCGGTTTACCGCGCACAGCTTGTTTGGTGTTCTGGATGTCAGCACAGCTAGATTCAACAGAAGCTTCTTATTTGCAAGGGATAAAGTCTGCCTGCTATGAAACAAGCCGAGTGGACGTTGTATATTGATGCCTTTACCTAGATCATTACTTTTTCAACTTCACATACAGTGGAAGCTTTAGCTTACTAAGCATTTTTAAAGATCATAAAAATTGCCATTTCCTGGGCTACTCCTGCTTACATTGTAAGAATTTTGCACTTACTTTGACTATACTGGGCAGCCGGTAAACAGCTATTGAAGGAATGAATGAATGAGCTACAGTTAAAAAAATTCTAAGTCAACAAACATTTATCGATCAGCCACTGTATTTAAGGCACTTGAGGCACTTAGATGGGTTTGATGGACATAAAGATTTTTCTTTTAATTTTTCAAGTAACTCCATCACTGAATATCTAGGATGATATTTGTAAGAATTTTCAGAGTGATTTATAAAGGACTTGTTGAACAGAAACTACTATTTATGTATATGAACCTGCCTTACCATAGCAATGGTGCCATGAACTCTATATTCAAATGCTCTGTATTCAAAAGCCGATTCCATACATTGTGCTTCAGTTCAGGTAGGGAGTAGGGATTTGTGGTGGGAAGAAAGAAATAAACTAGATTGGTTTCAACACTCAGATCTAAAACATGATAATCTAATATTCCGAAATGAATGTGTATCAATGAAAGGGCTAATTGGTATGTATCATCATTGTGGTCTGGAAATAATTGGGTTAAGGTCACTGGACTAAGTCAAGAGTCCTGAGTTTGTGGCTAGACTATACCAAGACCAAGGTGTGTTACTCAAGCGGCTTATTTCTCTGGGCCTCAGATGGTTTCTCTGTGAAACGGGGGACAACATTTGTGTAATATCTATAAAATGTGGAACAAAGTATCCTCGGTTTTCTTTCTGCTCCAATAATCTTTATTTCTAGGAGTTGGTATGGAGATGTCTTGACTTTATTACTGACTCTACCATTAACTAACGAGGTGACCTTAGCTAAGCCACTGAAAGCACCTGCATTTATTGTTCACCTGCGTTAAACATACATACATAGTTAAGTGATATCCAAGAGCCCCTTCTATCCTAAGAACCCATACAGTTTCCCCCACCTGTAAGATTTCAACTTCCCAAGTCAAATTATAAAAAACTGAGGCAATCTTGGCATATCAAATTCAGTAGCTGTTTATGTTATATGTAAGGAAATGTGAACTATCAGGTGATATGGGGAGAACAGAGATTACCAATATCTTTTGAGCCTTGAACTGTATTGAAATCTAGAATTTAAGATTCTACTTATTCATCCTTTTGGCAAATATTTACTACTATCCAAGAAGAATGCAGTCAGATGGAGCCAGACCATAGGACTTTTGCGGACAGTTTTCCTTTTCTTCACCCACCTCTATGCCCAGCCAGATCCTTCAGTGCCTCGGCTCCTTCCTCTTGCCCAGTCAAAGCAAGTAGCATCACTCCCCTTCTTTAAAAGCTTGCAGTATCTCCAAAGGCCAGCCAGTGGTCCAAAGTCCACCTGAATCGTCAATGCCTTTCCAGACACAAATCTACTAGTCCATCGAGCATGAGGTTCTATCTAATTAGAAAGCCAGTCACTTAAACATACAACAGAGTTTACAAAAAAAATAGGAAGCTTTTCAGGTGAAAATATATTACATTTGTAAAAATAATTGATCACATGTCTTTAAGGTAGCTGAAATAAAAGTGTCTTGTCTATGAAAGAAGAATACCTAATATTTATTGAACATTTAATATATACCTAGGACTGTTCTAAGTACTTTGCATATAGTATTTCATCTAATCTTTTCGTAATGACTCTATGAAGTATTGTTACAGTTTTACCGGAAACTGAGTCACAGAGAGATGAAACAACTTGTCCAAGGTCACACAGTTACTATTGTTTTAGCTGAGATTCAAGTTCAGGCAGTCTGACTTGACTACACTATTAACAACTGCTCTCTGCACAGAGTGCCTAGGCTGTTAAACTGCTTCACTTCCCAGAGAATTGCGAAGGTACATTTAGAAGAACAAGAAGTCCTCTGTACCATGTTAGGGCAGACCTTTAGAGTGTATGTCCCACATGTCAAACTTTAAAGCTAGAGCATTTGAGAAGAATGGTAATTATTTATGTCCATGTTTGTTAAATTTAAAAAATTCTCGGCACTGTTTGTTCTGAGCCATTATTCATGGTGAATTCCACTTGCTAAGGTAAAAGCATTCACTCTGGTTGTATAAATAGAGTAACAAGAGACCTGCTTAATAAAGCTCATTATAAAATATGCAAAATCTCTTTTTTCTCTTTGAAAATATACGACTTGTCATCTCATATCTCCATAGGGCACTAAATCGTTCCAGAACTCTGTGTAAGAGTACTGTTGAGAGCAAAACAACTTTGCAAATAAAATAGGCTGCCAATTCTCGATAACTCTGTACGAGAACGTCCCAACAATTTCACTGAGTTGGTTGCAATTAACCCCTGGTCCCATATTCAAAGATTTCTTCCTGCAACCCACCCATACCTGATGGACATCCACTCTACATATGGTGCCTTTATATATTATTCAGACCCAATTGTAGTAGCTGTTTAGTTCATTGAAAACAGTGTTAATAATTCATACGTTTAAAAATAAGCAATTCCTTATATCATATTTAAAGCTCAGAGATGAAAGAAAATTCTACCTTCATTTTGAGAACCTGAATGTACAATCTACCTCATGAAGTATATGGCCTTCAATATCGTTAACCACTGGGGTAAAGCATTCAGGAACAATAATCCATAAGTAGCCACAGGCACTTGAGGGAGAGAAGGAAGTTTACATGACCTCTGACCTCCCTTATTTGGGGAGAACAATTACCTATTCCAGCTACTATGACTTAGTGTTTTTGACAACCTTTGAAAAGCAATTCATAAAGTAAAAGGTGAATAGAAGTTTTGTTAAAATCCCAATAAAAATAAAGGTTAAAAGTTCTAAAGCAGAAATGGATTTTTAACGGAAGATAAAGGCTAGAGCCAATGAGCTAAAAGGTTACAAGTTTTGTTAATATAAAAAAAGGTTAAGGTAAAAGGCTAAAACCCATGAGATGAAACATTTAAAATAATCAAGTAGATTTGATCAAGAGTCAAGCACACAAGCACTTAAAAATGAAAACTGTGCACTAAGAAAAGAAAACAGTAAGAAAAAGTATGTACTTTTAAAATAGAAAAGCACAAAGCTCAGAGATTAGGGAGACAAAGGAGAAACAGAAGAGGAAGGAAGGGTTACAGGGGGAAAAAAAACCTATGAAGGGGAAGGGGTGGATTTCAGAGTACTTTAGTGTCATTAGGCAGCATGATAAGACATTGGGGACAGAGAGCCTTCCAAAACTGATTCAGAACCCCAAATCCCACCCAGAACCCAGCCAGGGCAGGGGCTCCCTGCTGCTTGCCACCAGGAACTTTTAAGGCCACACAACCCCCTTCCAACAAGGGGACAAACACTTGCCAAGTCACTGCTGGCTCAAATTTACTGGCTACGGACTAGCCTGGATTTTTAGTGAGAAAGATCCGCATTATGTGCCACTCTACTCCTTATTGACTGTGTGACTTTGGACAAGTTTCTCAACCTCTCTGAGTCTCAGTAGCTTAACTAAATTATAAAATTGAGGCACGACACTAATAATAGCAATTCGTCTGTGTCTCATTCGTAGTATTTTTATTCTTTTACTTCTAGAGATTACCCCTGCCAAGCACTAAGCTATTTCCAGATGGGTCTCACTTAATCCTCCCACCCACCTATGGTACTAATGACTCCTCCCAGAGCCAGTAACGTCATCCAAGACACCCAAGTGTTCAGATCATTTCTAGCCAGAAAGTTACAGAGGTGTCTGCCCTCCATGGCCTCTATGTAGGTAGCTCACTCCTGTGAATCTCAAATTACAATCCTCTACTGAAAGGAGGCGGGCAACTGATGTTCCTGACTTGGACTAGGACTTCGGCATGTTATACAAGTCTTACGTAGGATATTGAAACGCTGACTTAATAATATTCCCTTTTCAACATTTCAGACTCTACAACGTATGCACATTTTCTGTTCAATGCGTTTGACACAGACCACAATGGAGCTGTGAGTTTTGAGGTAAGTCTTAGACTTTTTCTTTATTGTGACTTGACTTCAGACACTGAAAGGGATTTAATCTTTTTAGTTGGAAATCTTGAGCTTGATTTTTAATTTTTTGTCTTAAGCCTTTTATTCCGTGGATTTTTTTCATCTTTTTATCAATTTTTGATAATATTACATATTCCCCTTTGTTCTCCCATTGGCCCCTTATCCACTCCTACCCCAACCCCAGGCCTCCACCACCCTATTGTCTGTGTCCATGGGTTATGAATATATGCATACAAGTTCTTTGGTTGATCTCTTCCCACTCACCCACCCCCTTTTATTCTTTTTATTATTATGATGGTAAGAATGTTCAACGTGAGATCTATCCTCTTAACAAATATTTAAGTGTACAATACATTACTGTTGACTATAAGTACAATGTTGTCCAGTAGATCTCCAGAGCTTAGTGATCTTGCTTGACTGAAACTTTTTATGCCTGTAGAGATCCTGGTTGCAATTCTTGCAGATACATATTCGGAAGTGGGATTGCTGAATCAGGTGGCAGTTCTATTTTTTTTTTTAATATATTTTATTGAATTTTTACAGAGAAGAAGGGAGAGGGATAGAAAGCCAGAAACATCAATGAGAGAGATCGATCAGCTGCCTCCTGCACGCCCCCCAGTAGGGATGTGCCCGCAACCAAGGTACATGCCCTTGACCGGAATCGAACCTGGGACCCTTGAGTCCGCAGGCCGACGCTCTATCCACTGAGCCAAACCGGTTCGGCAAGCAGTTCTATTTTTAATTATTTTGAAGAACCTTCATACTGTTTTCCATAGTGGCTACACCATTTTGCATTCCAAATTTTCCAAATCCTCCATGTCCTCCTCAACACCTCACCTTTCAGTTTTTCCATCCTGATACATGTGAGATGATATATTATTGTGGTTTTTATTTGAATTTCACTGGTGATTAGTGATGCTGGATATTTTTAATATACCTGTTGGCCATTTGTATATATTCTTCAGAGAAATAAGTGTTCAAGTCCTCAGCTTATTTTTAAAATTGGGTTACTAGGATTTTTTTTTATATTAAGTTATAAGAGTTTCTTATATATTTTGGAGATGACCCCTTATCAGATATATGGTTTATAAATATTTTCTCCTATTCTATAGGATCCCTTTTCACTTTGTTGTGCCCTTTGCTGTACAGAGGCCTTTTTAGTTTGATGTAGTTCAATTTATTTATTTTTTGTTGTTGTTGCCTGTGCTTTTGGTGTCCTATCCATAAAATCATTGCCAAGACCAATGTCATGAAGTTTTCCCCCAACTTCTTAGAATTTTATGGTTTCAGGTCTTAATCTATTTTAAATAATAATTGTGCATAGTATAAAGTCAGGATCCAATTTTATTATTTTGGGTGTGTGTATCCATTTTTTCTAACATGATTTGTTAAAGAAACTATCCTTTTCCTTTTCCCATTGTGTATTGCTGGCAGCCTTGTCAAAGATCAGTTGACTCTATATGCAAGGGTATATTTCTGCACTCCTATTCTGTTCCATTGATCTATGTGTCTGTCTTTATGCCAGTACCATACTGTTTTCATTACTATAGCTTTGTAATATATTTTAAAATCAAGAAGTGTGATGCCTCCAACTTTGTTCTCTTATTCAGGATTTACTTGATGTTTCTGGTCTTTTGTGGCTCCATTTGAATTTTAGAATGGTGTTTTATAAAAAACACCATTGGAATTTTGATAGGCATTGCATTAATCTTCAGATAGCTTTAGATAGTATGGACATTTTACCAACATTAAACCTTTTAGTCCACTAACTCTCCATTTGTTTGTGTCTTCTTTAATTTCTTTCATCAGTGTTTTGTAGTGTTTGATATACAAATCTTTCATCTCCTTAGTTACATTTATATCTAAGTATTTTCTGTTTTTTTGGTGCTATTGTAATTTCCTTTTGGATAGTTCATTGTTACAGAAATTCAACTGCTTTTTGTGTGTTGATTTTGTTTGCAGCTTCACTGAATTTGTTTACTAGTTCTAGCAGTTCTTCAGTAGACTCTATGATTTTCTGCATATAAGATCATGTCATCCGATTTCTTTTTCCTCACCAATGTCTCTGGCTAGGACTTCCAGCACTGTGTTGTAAAGAAGTGGCAAGCGTGGCTATCCTTGTCTTGCTCCTAATCTCAGAGGGAAAGCATTCAGTTTGTTATAATTCAGCATGATGTTAGCTGTAGGCTTTTTATATATGGTCTTTATTATGTTGAGATAATTTCCTTCTATTCCTAGTTTGTGGTGAGTTTCTATCATGGATGTGTGTTGAATTTTGTCAAAGGCTTTTTCTGCATCTATTGGCATGATCAGGTGGTATGTTACATCTATTAATTGTCATATGTTGAACCATCCTTCCATCCCAGGGATTAATCATACTTGGTCCTGGTATATGGTCCTTTGAATGTGCTATTGTTTGACTTGCTCTTATTTGGTTGAGGATTTTGCATCTATATTTTCAGGCATATTGGCCTGCGTCTTCTTTTCTTGTGATGTCTTTGTCTGGCTTTAGTGTCAGGGTAATGCTGGCCTCATAAATGAATTTGGAAGTATTCCTTACTCATCAGTTTTTTGAAAGAGGTTGATTAATTCTTTAAATGTTTGGCAGAAATCACCAGTGCAGCCATCTGGTCCTGGGCTTTTCTTTGTTGGGGGTTTTGGATTACTGATTCAATCTCCCAGTTATAGGTCTCTGCAGACTTCCTTTTTTCTTACATAATTTAGTCTTGGTACATTGTATGTCTCTAGAAATTTACCTAATTTTTCTAAGTTCTTTAGTCTGTTGGCATAGAGTTGTTTTTAGTAGTCTCTTATAATTCTTTTTATTTCTGCAGCATTAGTTGTAATGTCTCCTCTTTAATTTCTGATTTACTTATTTATTTGAGTATTCTATCTTGTTTTTAAATATGTTTTTATTGATCTCATGGAGAGAGAGAAAGGGAGAGGGATAGAGAGATAGAAACATCGATGAGAGAGAAACATCCATCAGCTGCCTCCTGCACGCCCCCGACTGGGGATGGAGCCCACAATTCCAGAATATGCCCTGACCTGGAGTCAAACTGGTGACTTATTGATTCATGGGCCGATGCTCAACCATTGAGCCACACTGGCTGGGCAAGTCTTTAATCTTTTTTTTCTCTTAGTCTAGCTAAGGGTTTGTCAATTTTGTCTATCTTTTCAAAATATAAAATAAAAATCAGTTTCATCGATTTTTTTCTATTGTCTATTTCATTTATTTCTGCTCTGATCTTTATTTTCTTTCTTCGCTAATTTTAAGCTTAGTTTATCCTTTTGCTACCTCCTTGAAGTGTACAGTTACATTATTTATTTGAGATATGTCTTCCTTTTTCATGTTGGCATTTATTGCTATAAACTTCCCCCCTAGTACTTCTTGATAATTTTTAAGCACACACACTGAAAAAGAAGCCCAAGAATTTATTCTTCCCATCATTATATTGTCACAAAACTATCCTTATCTCTTAAAAGAAGTGCAAATTACAACACACATTTAGCTTGCTGTCTAATATTATATATCTGTTTGTACAAGAAAAGTACATTTCCCAAATTACATGACAACAATCCCAGAAGACAAACAATTTAACTAACCTTTAGGGCATCTGCTATGGGCCTATAACTCTGGTAGGCCTTTGAAATACAAAGCTGATAAAGTCAAAATCCTGCCTTCTAAGGCTCAGAAAGTGGGGGAGACAAGAAAGAAATGAAATGCTATATTCACCAGCCTAACAATTTTACAAGGAAATCCCTTTTCAAAGTATGTACATTAAATTATTTGTATTTAATTTTGTTTATGAAATGTATTTAATTAATTTTTTATGAAATTAAAAAAAATAGTTTATTTCTGGAAATTTTCATTTAATAATTTTGGACTGTGGTCAACCATGGGTAACTGAACCCAAGGGAAGCAAAAGGTGTGGATATGGGGGGACTGCTCTAGCAACTATTTATTCTGAGTCCGGACAGGAGCTGATACAAGCCTGAACTACAATTGGGGTCACCGGAGATGAAAAGGAGACAAGATCAGGAGACATGAAACTTAGTAGAATTATATTTCAATACAACCTGTCATGTTTGGGAGGTGAAGTTCATTCATTCACCGCCAGCTGCCTGGAAGCGGGAGCTTTGTGAGGTCAGGGTGAAAGGGAAAGGCACAGCCCTCCGAGATGTCACTCAGTCAGTGGCCGCAGGGCAGAGGCACCAGGGCAACCAAGTGTCTGCTCACAGGTACGAGGGTCTCATGCAGATTGAATGCTGGCGAAATGAAGAATCTGGGCCAGGAACTTCATGTCCCCTTACATACCTTAACCAAGACATACCAGGGACAAGAGAAGAGTAGAAGCTAGCGGTGGCTCAGTCGGAGGTGTGGGCTAAAAAGACTGCAGGCATCAAGGCCAGGGCAATGGGCTTTATCTCGAATGTGGCAGCAGCAGGTATGGGGGGGAGGGAGTAGGGGGGAGGGGATAGAGGAGACACGTGAGAGTGTCATAGGCACCAGGGCCCCACTGATGATAGCTTACAATCACCCATGATAACGTGTGCATTAGCATTTACTGCACTTAACCTACAAGATGAGTTCCAGCAGAGCCTTAGTGTCGCTCTACTACGGAAGTCAACGCTTCCAGTTCACCTAACGAAGTCGTTCAGAGCTAGTTTGCAGAGAATGAGTAAGGCACAAACTACGAGCAGTTTCATTTACTTGAAATTACTTCTGTGTCAGAAATGAAACATCAATTACCTATAGCGCATTGTATCTAATTTCATATGTAAATTTAGTCTGGTGTTAATGATACGGGCCCATGCATAGCACTGCTGCTGTAATATTTATGCAAAATGCCGGTAATTATGATGAATGTTGATTGTAACTTGGAAAATTAGTTGTAATGGCTATATACTATAAGCATGCTGGTAAATGTCTTTCTTTTGAAGGCAAACGAATGGCTGAATTAATAAAT